AACAAAATAGAACATTGGATTATGACGAACGTTTTGATGGTTCTCCGACACTGCGCATTACAAAACCTCCAGATACCTTTGTGAACAATGATAGGTATCGTATTACTTGTCGATTAATGCAAAATACTTCACAGAACAAAAAAATGTGCTGTAAACATGTCAGAACAAAACAAGCCTAGCATGGATTTCTCTTCTCATTTTTTTCTTCGAACTTTTGTTTATTCACATAAGTTCAACATTCATTAATTTTTAATTTTGGCTTATCTGCTAAGTGCTTGGCAATCAAAGTGTGAAGTGATGATAGCACAGTATCCACACAACATATTAGACGAGTAATTCTGTTGCTAATCGTGAATTATGAGTTAAATTCATATTCCCTTTTTTATTTTAACATTTTGAAAAATCTATTTTCATAAACAATATTAATTCGAAATTATCCAGATTCATCATTGGAATGTGCGCTTTGTGGACAAAGTTTAGTCTGGATAAGATCTTGCCTGAGAAAGGATCTGCCATTGACATAAGCAACCTTTTTGTCAAAAGTGAGTTAAGATTTAGATTTTCAAAGAATTCGTAGAATATTTCCGAAACTTTTCTATACCTATGACAGAAATTGTTCGATAAACCCAATATATATAATTTATAAATGCGACAGCGTTTAGAGTACGCATAAAATTCTGAGTTGTTTGATCTGTTTGGTTTTCATTGGCCAATATTCTGCTTAATGAAATTTTTGATTCGAATATTTAATCATGTTTCAGCACTTTCTAGTTGATTCTACTTCACAATGAGATATTTAAGCTGGAGTGTGATAGATTCAATAGAAGCAAATCATGACGGTAAAATTTTGAAAATATTGAATTTTTAGGAAAAGTTCGAAGTGACCAACTTCCTTCACCTGCAATTTTATATCTGAAGGAATTACTTGACGAATTGTATGTATACATTTCGAAGTTTTCCCCAGCGGATTCTACAGTCTTAGATTCATGCTCAGTAACTTTTACTTTGTTTTTGAGTTTACCTTTTCTGTTTGCCGAGCAATCGAATACGGCGAATTTGTGTACAGTTTTACCGCTGGTTTTTGAAACATTAAAGAGAAAAAGCTCATTTATGATTTAATCTTTAAACATCTTTACAAGCAGCACTTTTTCTGCTTTAACATTTAGGCAAGCACATGTAAGTTACTGCAGTGATTTGGAAATAAATTTTGGATTTTATATATATTGATAAGGTAGTCATTAATTTTATGATAAGGGAAGATGTTAATGTTTTTATGTGCAAATTAGAGGATTAATTACTTTTTGATCTGTTTCATAGAAAATGTCTAACTTTTACGATATTGAACTTTAAATGGGCAGTTCTTGGTGTAACGTTAAGCTTTTAGATTTTTTGGAATATCATACTTTTCGTAGAAACATGCCATCAGCGAATGGATTTACGAAGCGCATGCGCGCCGCTTCATCTTGCATGGCAGCATTTGAATGATCCCTCTTATTCCAACAGTTGGAAGCAGTAAGTTATTGAGAAACTCCAGTAGTATCCGAATTTTTTCTAAAAATTTCACAATTTTGAAGTTAATGCAAATCATTCAAATAGTGATTTTCATTTATCTATTGTAAAATAACCAATATCGTTTACGTTTACGCACAAATATTTAATTCCTGCAGCAACAATTTGTTGGACATAGTGTATTGCTAGATGATTCCATGTAATATTCATGGTATGGGAGTTCGGTTTTGGGGTGGCTTTTATAGAGTTCAACGAAATGGGCGATGATGGCATGAGGGTAATTTGCGTCTGAAACTGCTGATGTACATTATCAGTTATACTGAGCCTGTTTTGTCATTTGAAAGAGCAGACGGTATCGGATTGTTGGTTAAAATTTCATGAAGTATAATTGCGTGTCACGAATTTACTGCATCATATCGGGGAAATTATTGTATGATGCACATGTAATAGATAATTGATACTGAAGTAGTTTAGATGGTCCACTGGTTTGTGTTGTGCTGCAACTGCGATCGATAAAGTATGGATGACTGATAAGAAAGCTTCAGAACGTTATTTCAGTTTCTACAAGCGTTGTAGCGTTTTTGAACCCTTTGGAAGCTACGATGAGTGGAAAAAGGTTCGATCTGTTTACATTTATTTATTTCAGGTTTGGAAGAATGTATGTTCTTTTTTATGGTAAGAATCTATAAGATTATTTAATTCTTTATAAACGATGGTAGATGTAGTTTTTATTTTTCATTTTTTGATCTAAGCTCTTTAGATGTCAGAAATTTAGCAAATTTCGAGTTTTAATAAGTTCTGAGGGGTAATTTATCCTTTTATTGCAGTATGAAGATGAGCTCGAAATTTTGACTGCAAACAGTGCTACAGTGAATAATAGAAGTGGTTTAATGCAACCAGATGCTAATGAAGTGGGAAAGTGTCATGCTAATAAGAACAGTGTTTTAAGCTTAACGCTGAGACTGATGACAGACATTTGCTGTGGTTTTGCGATTTTGAATAATCATAATAGCAAACAGGTAATTATGTTATTTTGTGCGGGTAGTGCATCGGTTGAATTGAAAAGGAGTAGTTTGATGGCTTTCATTGCTTGCTACAATAGTGAGCCACACATTATATATGAAAGTACTCATTATACAGTGTCTTACTACAGTGTACATGCATGTTATCAATTATTCTTTTCATTAGACTTTTATAGATATTACTTGAGCTGCTGTCAATATCGAAGCATCATCCTGTTGAGCTTTGTCGTTTGGTATGGTTAAATCTTAAAGATAAAAAATGGTCACAGGTTGCATGTTTTACTCAGTATATTTGTTCAGACTTTGCTGTTAAGGAAATTTCGATTGCTTGCAAAGTAAGTCGACAAAATTTATTGATGTTTTCCAGTATGTAAAACCATAGTCTTTTGATGTGTATATTTATACCAGATTTTGAACCACTCAGATCAGAGAATTTAAAGAACAGAAAACCTAGTTATTATTATTGCTTGATGCTTAATTACCTTAGTTATTCGATGCTCAAATTTGCGATATATGAAGATAGGTTGGGTATATGAAATCCGACAGAAAAACCATGGTATCCGACAGAAAAAGCTGCTTTTCTTTGTTATATATTGGACAAATACAGTTTAGATAAAATAACTTATGTTGAGAAATAAAACTGTTAGTCATGAAATAGATATAAATTTAAGTTTACACGATATTTCATGATTAAATTTTATTCCTTCCAGAATATTGATCTAGCTCGGGTCACTTTGGGTACAGAACTATTCTCATCAGTATGGCGTTCGATGAGTTTTCAATTATCTTCACGAGAGCTTACACTGACACAACTTGATAATTTCCCCATCCAGCTAAAACATTTATGTACCTATTTCTGGAAGATTGGAGTTCATTTGAAATCTTTTAAATTGAAATACAAGTGAGTGTGATCTTAACTATATCATGTTAATTTTCGCCATTAAGACATCGTCGATGATAAATTAAATGAAGATTTTCCAAAGTTTAAAAAAAGATAGATTAAATGTGGGTTTTTTAAATCCAATAAAATTTTCTGTTTGCTCTGGCATACAGGAAAATTTTGGTGCACTGCAGACGCCTCTATCCATTGCTTGCCCTAGACAGTAACAAAGTACTCTGTATTTTCATGATTAAAAGTTCAAAACGCAAAGATCAGTTGCTCCTTCATTTGTTAAAAGCGGTTCTGAAATAGAATTGAGAGATGAGTCCACAGTAAATCATTTTGGAGTAGGCAATAAGTTTTGGTATTGTCTAGCAATGTTGGTGAAATATGGGGTTTTCAATAAACACTTATTTTAGGGAAAAACTTCTAACTGTGATCGATTATTTCGAATCATTGTTGGATTCACCATCCTTCACTAATTCATCTGCCAACGATACTTTGTCAAGTTTAATACAGCGCTTGGAAGTAATCGCTTGTGCGCTATTACCACTATCGATCCCGGCGAGGAACTGCATTGATCCGGTGATGAGTGATGAAATGAATTTCAATTATTTGATGAATAAGGTTAATACCATTCGCGCATTTTTTTTCTCTTGGGCAAACTGAAAATTTCCAGCATTTTATTCATATTTTTTCTGTTTTTTAAAACAAAAAATACAAATAAATTTAGAAAAAATTGTTGAATTTAGAAAAAATTGCTTGAAAATATTGTTGGCGTTTTGCAATCCTATCAAGGAGTAATCAGTGGTCAGACGGATTTGGCGTTGTTTTCAAATTCCAAGCATCCGTTTATAAGTAGCCTTCTATATACGTATAATTCTGTGATGAAGGAATTGGAAAATTATTCACAAAATACAGTTTCTTTTCGTCCTCATTATACAGATGTAAGTTTTAAAGTTAAATTCCAACAAAATCTGTCTTTACTGTTTTGAAATAATTGACATGCACAGGTTTTATTTTAGCGAATTACTATCCTGCTGTTCCTTAGTATCACGTAACAATATTTTAGCATGGCAATTTTCGAAGAGCAGAATACTCATTTCTGACTCAGGAATTCGTTTTTGGTCATCAATTAGACCAGTTTTTCTTAACTCGTAATGTCTAGAATTGTACTTTGTTTAACAGAACAATCCATTTTATCACACATGCACTACATTTTTAATTTCCAAATTTCATTTGTCATATCGATAAGTATATATATGTATATATATTATTACCGTTTATTATTATAGTTTCAAATATGTTAAATGGATCATCCCAGGGTTTTTTAAGGTTTATTTTTTAAGCTTTCATACAATTCAGTTAATGAATTTGCACACTTTAAATGATCCTGAAACTTTCCAGTTAAGTTTTCGGTAAATTTTGATTTAGTAGCTTTGAGAAGGAAATGAGGTTTTTTCAAGCTTTTTTAAGAAATTGTTTAGCCTAATCTCGTTAAAATTTTTCATTTTGAGCAGATTCCTTTTCATTGGTTTACAGTTTCCATCACTGGCGATAACATTGAATTCTTTCCTCGGAACAGTTCTCGAACAGCATCGCACATTTTCTTTTATCGATCTGGATCACTTAGATAATCTATCGGATGATACCATTCGAATGACGGTGGCGCAGATTGATAGCTTTTTAACATCCGTCCAGTCCTTCTATAATGTATGTTTTTACATTTCAAGAGCAAATAAATAAAAATATACTATTATGTATTTCTAGACTCTTATTTGGATCAGTTACAATACTTGTTCTTGCATCTTTTTTCAGAGAACATTTTCTGAATACAGTGCCTTCACGGATATCATCTGTCCATTTTTCATGTTTTTGAATATTTTGGTGGCAACGATTTCATACAAGCGCTTTCATATAATTCAGCTAATGAATTTACGCAATTTAGTTGATGCTTACAACTTCCCAGCCAAGTTTTTGGTAAATTTTGATTCCGTAATTTTGAGAAGTAAATGAGGTTTAGAATTAGTCAACAAAAGGAATTGTAGTATTGACGACGATGGAGATAAATAAATTTGTTTATCAATTTTAACGATATAAAAGCCGCGTAGTAATTTCAATAATTAAAAGCCGTTTTCCGTTTTCTAATACCATGAAACAATTAAATATAGATTACGGCCAAGGCGTTATTGTCAAAGCAAAGCGATCATTTTAAGTCCATTATTTGTCAAAGCAAAAGATCATATATAATTATATCATTTAGATAGGATAGAGATATGAAATAATATGAAGAAAATGGAAGTCACTCTTTTGCTTGTAGCTGCAGCGTAATTTCAACCAAATTTTACAGCTTAAATGGAACTATTTGAATAATTCACCAGAAAGTGATGTTTTATACAAATGGTGTATTTCGGAAAAAACAATAATGCCAAAAAGATTACAAAAGGAATTAGTTGCTCTTTCTCTGAAGAAATATAAACAATACAGGGAATGTTTCCCTAATCTCAAAGAGATTATGGTCAACGAAATTATTGAATGGATTAGTGAGTAACATTTTATAATTTAAAAGGCAATAACCAGAATTATTAGAGCAGTTGCGTGATTTCTTTACTCTTCACATTGACCTATTATCAACATTTAATGCTAGAAATTTTTAGTATCGATATCATTTGGATTATTTTCAAATTTACATGACTTTAATTTGAATCAGAACTGATTTTCCGTATTGATCTGTTTAATCAATTTTTGGAAATTAGGTCAAGAATTTAAAAATTCATATTATTATTGAAACTGATATTTTGTAGGAAATCAATGGTCGAAGTGGTTTGAAGCTAATACAGAAAAAGAAGAACGAACATACGTTTATCGGAAAAGCACAAAACACGGAGAGGAAGAGCTTGATGATGATGACATTAAGGTAATGCAAAATTAGTAGAGTAAAGGAATAATGGTAGAAGGACGGTAAATTATTTTCTAGATCTGCTTTCAAAGAATAAGATGAAAATCTGATGAATGGATGTTAAAATTGTGGGAAAAGTCTTTTATAAATAACGTATGCTGTTTTTACTAGGTTTATCTGTGACTTTTGCTGTAATTCATAATATTAGAGCTTGATTTATGACATTTATGATTTTGAAAAGGACTAGATAGATTCTGCCATCTCAATTATCAGTCATTTTTGCGCCATTATGTAGACTTCTAATCCATACAAAATGAAGACTAACGGATTATTAAATATTTTCTCGATTTCATATGGTTTTCAGGTCCGAGAATTGCTGCCAGATTTCACGGCTTCCAGTGATGAACAAGATTTATTTAAAGAATCAGCATTTTTCGTTTCACCATCTACCACTTGTATCGACAGTGAAAGTTTGACAGAAATACTTCATCTACTGGCAAATGAGGAATATATCCGTGGCTGCGATGGTCATATGGCTTTAGCGTGGATGATGGATACAGCATCGTCATGTGGTCTTGTGGACGACTTAGTAGATTCAAAAGTTTTTGGTATTTTCTTCATAACTGTGCTTAAGAAATAATTAGAATAAATTTTAAAATTTGTAAACATTGATTTTAAATTGTAAACATTTGACAAAATTCTTTATATATTATTATTTCCCTGGTCTCTTTCTTCCTCATTGCTTCTTGTTTTTTTATGCACATTCGAATGTTCTATGATTTCCTTATTTGATGAGTTACGTTTTAGTTTATAACCTTTATGCGTTAAATCAATTGGATCGTGATGAAGACATACAGATTGTTGATGTGTACCGAAGAAATAGCAGATCAGAATTGAAGAAATGTATCGCAGTAATGAAACCGCTGATCAAACGTGTGTACTGGTTGAAGGAAAAATGGCCTGAAATGACAGTCCTCGATGGTATATTACAGGTGATGCATTATAGCTTATGAATCAAGACAGTGAAATAAAGTATAATATCACTATCATTTGTGATCATTTACGGATAATAAATGTTAATCTGACATGCAGTTATGTGATAGTTTAATGAATTGCACATTTATTGGACTGGTAAATGAGTTCTAAATAACTTCTCATTTAACTTGTAAACAATTCTTATGTAGTTATGCTAAATGGTGATACAGTTTTGTAAATGATTATTTGTCATATCATCCTTATTGGATAATATGGTAAATAATATACAAGGATTAATTGTTCATAAATCATGGAACTTAGTTGAATCTAATAATTAAGCGTTTATCGGTTTCGATTTTTCATTTCTGGTTCATTTCTTGTTTAGTATATTTTTTAGTTTTTTTTTTTTTTTGCAGCGAGCGCAGAAGATCTTATCTGAGTCAATAACAGCCCCCCAAATGCAATTTTCGGCACTTCTCGAACATCTGCTTGGTAGGATATATAGTGGTTGCACACAGATCACATGTTTTAATCGATGTTGCACTGATGATAATAATGTTTATAACTTTCACTTTCTTTTTCTGAGTCATTTTTTGCTATAATTCTGCACAGTTGTTTATGCAGTAAATCGGATAGAAATGTTTTCATTACTTGGTTTATTATATAGAAAGATTGTTAATTTAAAGAAATGCCGAATCTTTTTTTCTTTCCAGCTGAAGCAGATCTGTGGGAGAAAGTGGCTGATCGAAACCACTCGTTAGCAACTGAACTTGAAGAATTGCGGCACTTGTTAGTGAACTGGCGAAAGATGGAAATAACGTGTTGGGATAATTTACTTGAACAAGTACAGGTTAGCCGTGTTCCAAATGTTTTAATATTTATATGGAGTGTTAGATAAGGTACGTTGAATTCCAAAAAAATAAATCTGATGTGAAGTTCGTCAAATTCTTAGCTTTTTACAATCGTTTTAAAGATGTAAAAAGTAATCATCATATTCGATCTTATAATTTTAATCTAGAATCTATTTAAATAATTTGACCTGTTTGATTAAACGTTCGAGAATTTATTATAGACCGATTGTCGTGCACAAACACTGCTACTGTCGTGGCCACTTTTCGAGGCACTTGACAAAATGAATAAAGGTGACGATGAAATTTTAGCGATGACAATTGAGTGGATACAAAATTCTACGATTATTGACTTTAAAGCTCGAATACTAACTGCTGAATTGCTGATAAAGTTTATTAAATTGGCAAAAGAAACTGTAAGGAGTGAATTATATCAACGTTTGGAATCAGTGGTTGCATATTTCCGTCTATTTGATACTGTAAGTTTTATTTTGTTTAGTTAGGGATTTGCATAATTTAGACTAAAATAATAAACTACCAATCGCATCACAAATAATCTTTGGAATGCAATTTCAAATTTCTAAAATTTGCTGAGGAATCTGTACTAAAAGATTTTTACGTAATCCAGCAGTTAACTCGTTATATTTTTTGGAAATAAAAGAGAAGAATCTTATGCTTAACAAAAATTTCTCTCGTTAGTGAGCAATTTAAATAGGATATGTGACATCCTTCATTTAGTTTGGGTTTGAGTTTATATTAATCAAGAATAGGTCTAACTAACTGGAATGAGCAATCGGGTTGGAAAAATTAGTTTCGAGTTTATTGTCACTTGCAATCTAACTAACTTGAGTGATCTTTTTTCCAAATAAATCATAATTTAGAATTGAATCTCCAAATTTTGCGTTTCCTTTCCTTGAGAATTGGTAATTGTAAATTTTGAACTTTCTTACCGCAACAAATTTCGATTTCAGGTAGTTGAAAACAAATTAGCCACACAAAAGATACCTACGGAAAAGCAGCTGCATGATTTTGTTAAAATAATGAAATACAACGATTTAAATTTATGGAGTGTGAAAGCATCAACCCAGAAAGCTCACAAACAGCTGTTCCGTCTCATTAAACAGTTCAAATTATCGGGCAGCGACTTAGTTGCCCCTCTTTTTGATGAAATCCCACCGATACTATCAATAATAGATCACGAGACTAAAGCGACATTTGCTAATGACCAAATAATACCATGTAACGATTTCTATGCGAAACGCGCAATTGACTTAACGTTGAAAATTGTGACACGTTTCACGGATGGTATCCATTTAGACGATATTCAGAGAGTATGTTTTGCAATATATTATATAAAGAATTGTTTTGGGAAAATTAACACAGTTTAGAAGTTGTAAGCCATGTCATGCATATGTGACCAATTCTATTAAATATTATCAACCTTCCTCATTTTTTTGGAATACACCTGTAAAGCATTTAGTACCACCATCAAAACGGTTGAATTATATTTAACTGTAGTGGGTTTTTACTGTTTCTTTATATATA